TCTATAAGAGGGAGAATACTCTAAGCCGCGAATAGACTCTCTAGCCTAAGATAATAGCTGCCCTTATCGAGTGCAATGTTAAAGAGTATAATAGGATTACTCTAGAGGCCTTTCTACTCCTACTACTACGAGAAGATAAACTATACCTAGTATCTTCGGGAATCGAGAAGGTACTTACGAAGGACTCTATATTCGCAACTTTGTTAGAGGGTTCGAGATTTCAGACTCGGAGGACTAGGAGCCTCGCCTATTTCAAGAAGACGAAGAGGAATAGAAGAAAGGGTAGGAGGGTTAGTAGTAAGAATTAGACTATCTAATAGGTTGGCTCGCAGCCGGAAGTAGGCCTACGAATTCTATTCGCTTAACCCCTGTAGGGTAGCGTACTAGGATTCTGAAATTCCTACTTTCCCTCCTTTCAATTCCTATATTCCCTCTCCTCTATCCTCTCGTAACGGATTTACGACGTCGGAGTCTGAAATACTATATTTTCGTCTTCCTTTGCTTCCTCTCTAGGAGTCGGAAGCTCCCGATTCGAATCCTCCTCGTAGCTAGGAAGCTCTTCTGCTACTCCTATACGATCGAGCGCTCGCTTATACTAACGATATAGTTCCGCGACGAACCTCCTACCGAGCCTAATACTAGGGGACCGCCGACGTAGAATAGAGGTTCGTAAGCGTCGTACAAGACGGCCGACTATAGTAGAAGAAGATCTAGATTCCTCTCTAGTACTCCCCGTTAAGCCGGACTATATCGGGGAGTAGGATATTAAGGCTAACTACTAGCTATAGAGGTTCAAGTATAAGGAGAACTTTGAGAAGTAGTATAAGGTACGCTAGTAGAACTATACTAGGAAGCGGCTCAAAAAGCGGAACGGTCGTACTATATTTGATCGGTCCCTAATTACCTAGGGGAGTAAGTCTCGGATATCTTAGGTATAGGATTTCCTAGAGGAGGGAATACTTCAAGAAGATACGATACCTAAAGTCGTATATAGGTACTGTAACGCTATACTAAAACATCCTATACTGAATACCGGTACAACGTTTATCGAGAAGTATCTAGACTCCTCGAACTACTAGGAGAAACAAGATAAGCGAGGGTTTACGAAGGAGATGTTTATAACCGCAAAGCATCGATAAGTAAGTACTGACTACCGACGACCAGACCTGCCGACTATACCTACCGACTATGTCTGCCGACTACGTCTAAGTAACTATACTAAAACTTTATCTCTAGACTATAAGCAATCCGCGATAGACGAGGGACCTAGGCTATATACCGGACGATTTCCCGCGCTTATCCTTTAAGATAATTATTAATAATAGTCTACTATTCTAGTTCTTTGAACGACCGTTAGTAAAACAGACTTATATAGCCCTACTCCCGGGATAGGTCGAGACAATTCAGTTCAAATCTGCCTCGATATACCGTAGGATACTCGGTACTAAGGTTCAAGAGTCTACTAAATCCCTTAAGACCCGTCTTACTAGTAGATTCAAGATAGCTATCGCGTATAATAGCTAGTAATCCAGAGGTATAAAAACCTTATTCCTTACTATCTAGGTCTACTAGATTAACGACTACTAGGTCTAGTACGAAGGGATACTTAGCTTTCTATATATTACTAGCCGTTATACTAGTAATTACCTTATAGAGATACTATTCGAAATCTTACAAGAGTTCGAGATTAAGTACCGATTAACTGCAATTACGTACGACAATGCCTCGAACAATAAGACCCTATACAATACGATATAAGACTACTTGCTTTACTCTTCCTACTTCCTTCTAATATTCTATAGTGTTTTAGCGATTAATACTTGTTAAGAGAGGTACGGTATAACGGCTAGGAGGCTAGTAACGAGCTTAGAGGAAGGTACAGAGAGTAGTCCCGACTCGGAGATAGGAGAGGATAAGGAGGAGGCAATCGCGGAGCATAATCGAGCTAGCCGTCCCGAGCGATTTCCCTACTTTATATATACTGCCTAGCTTCCCTTAAAGGCCTTTTTCGACCGCCTAGGGCTCTGTCCGACTAACGACCTTTCCGAATACTAGGATTACGAGAAAGATCGGCAGATATTATAGAGGAGGAGAAAACAGAGTAAGCAGATTAGCCGCCCTTAAGCTAATAGTATGCCTTACCTCCTTCTAAAGGTAAGATTAGTCTCTGCGGCCTATCGCCTATTAACCTTCCTATTTCTAAAGTGTAGTCGGCTCTCGTAGTCGGCAATTATAGTCGGCACTCGAGATTCCCTTCGCTGATTTCGATCCCTAGATCCGGAAACTTTGCGTCTTTATTAACTCGAGCTCTTAAAGGTTCGAGCAGTTTATCGACCTATAGAAAGAGATACTTCAAAAGAAGGAGCTATTTGCAAAGTACCGTCGGTAGAATAGCGTTCAAGATCGGATCCTAAGGGTCGTTCAAGACGTAAAGATAAGGTAGTCCTTAACAACGTTAATACTCGATCGCTTCAGCAGACTGCAAAGAGTTATCGAATCTTATATTAATCGACTCGACCTAAGTAAAGATATAGGTATCGATTCCGAAGAGTAGCAAAGGATTAAGTACCTTATCGACCTTACGAAACTATTCGCAGCGGCGATAGCAACGATCGGAACAATAAAAGGTCCGACTATCTACCTTGTCCTCGTATACTACAACTAGCTTTTCGACATTCTAGAGGAGACGATAAAGCGACTTAAGAATAAGAGGATACCTTAGAAGAAGGATGTATATTAGATATACGAGGCTGCTTAGGCTAAGCTTAAGAAATATTATCGAGATACCTAGGATCGATTTAGCGATTACTACGGCATTAGTATCCTCCTTACCCCCTACCTTAAGCGGAAGTTCTAGGTACGCGATGACTTTAGGGATAAAAGCTACTACGAGTATTACGAGGGTAAGCTAAGAACAGAGTAGGAGAAGAGCTATCGTCTATTATCGAGCACTTCTACCTACGAGTTATATAGTAGAAGTGGTCGGTATAAGGGCTAGATCGACTTTACTCTTAGTAGGAGTGCAGAGTCTTCTTAAACTCAACGACGTAGCACTCGTAAGGGTAACGAGCTTGCCGACTATCTAGACGCTAATATAGATGAAGGGGATCTATTCGAGGTACTAAAGATATAGTCTTCGCTTAAGCCTAAGTACCCTACTCTCGTACTAATAGCGCGGGATATTCTCTATATTCCTACGGCCGGAGTTAGGTATAAGCGCGATTTCAGTATCGCTCGACACTAAAGTCGTTTCAATCGCTAATACTCCGTATTAACATTCTCTAAACTAATAGTATCCCGTTTCCGCTACCGCGACGATAAGTACGATACTAGAGTTCTTATCGCCTACGAGGCTATAGAGGCTACTTAAGCGCTTCTTAATACTCTAACTTTATAGGAGATCCTAAGTAAAGACCGAGAGCAGACAAAAGATCTTATAGAACGGATTAGTAACTTAGATGCAATTAGCGATAATAAGGGAGATAGGGTAGAGGAGCTAAGGCGATCAGTACGCCTAAGCTTTAAGCTTGCGTAAGAGTGCCTCCGGAATACTACGAGACGATTATAGCGAGCTTGGTTTAAGTAGGCCTCATCATGGGTACAACCCACCCTGGTGGGTATGTAGGGTGGGTTGGGTATTGGCAATACCCAATAGGTATAGGTATTTAGCTGGGTATACCCAACCCATCGGGTTGGGTACAAACCCAGTGGGTATTGCGATACCCAGTAGGTATTGCGTACCCATTGGGTATTGAATCTTCGTATATAGAAATAAAAAACCCAGAAACCGGGTGCCCTAACGAGAGCGAAGAAGCGATTTATTTGGACTAGGCATAAGAAAAGAAACTGTATATAAACCCGATATAGATACGAAAGTGAAGATTATAGTTAAATTGAATGAAGAAGCTCAGGATTATATATACGCTATGCTACAAGTTGTGATATTTTGAATCTTAAGAAATATGGTCGGCAAATATGGTCGGCAGGTAAACTTCATACAAGCTTAAAGCAATCTCCCTATAATCGTCTCGTAGCATCCCGGAGGCACTCTTGCGCAAGCTTGAAGCTTAGGCGTACTGATCGCCTTGGCTCCTCTACTACATCACCCTCGTCATCGCTAATCGCATCTAAGTCACTAATCCGTTCCATAAGATCTTTCGTCTGCTCTCGGTCTTCACTAAGGATCTCCTATGAAGTTAGAGTACTAAGAAGCGCTTAGGAAACCTCTGTAGCCTCCTGGGCGATAAGAACTCTAGCATCGTACTCATCGTCCCGATAGCGAAAACGAGATACCATCAATCCAGAGAATGTTGCTGCGGTGTATTGGCGATTGAAACGACTTTGGTGTCGAGCGATACTGAAATCGCGCTCATACCCAACTCCGGCGGCAGGAATGTAGAGAATATCCCGCGCTATCAATGCGAGAGTAGGGTACTTAGACTCTATTGAAGACCACGTCTTTAGTACCTCGAATGGATCCCCTTCATCCATATCAGCGTCCAAATAGTCGGCGAGCTCGTCATCCTCGTTAGTGCTACGTCTTTGACTTTAAGAAGACTCTGTACTCCCACCAAGAGTAAAGTCGATATAGCCTTTGTGCCGACTCCTTCTAAAACGGCCCTGCTGGGTAGAGGTACTCGATAATGAACGATAGCTCTTCTCCTACTCTGCCCTTAGCTTACCCTCGTAATACGCGCGGTAACTTTCATCCCCAAAGTCATCGCGTACCCAGAACTTCCGCTTAAGGCAGGGGGTAAGGAGGACGCTAATACCGTAGTAATCGCCAAATCGATCCCAGGTATCTCAATAATATTTCTCTAGCTTAGCCCAAGCAGCCTCGCATGCCTGAAAGACATCCTTCTTCCAGGGTATCCGCTTATTCTTGAGTCGCTTCATCGCCTCCTCCAGAATATCGAAAAGCTTGTTGTAGTATACGAGGACAAGGTGAATCGTCGGACCTTTCGTAGTTCCAATCACCGCTGTCGCCGCTGCAAATGGTTTCGTAAGGTCGATAAGGTACTCTACCCTTTGCCATTCTTCGGAATCGATGCCTATGTCTTCACCCAGGTTAAGTCGCTCGATATAAGATTCAATAACCACTTAGAGTCTGCTAAAGCGATCGAGCATTAACGTTGTTGAGGACCACCTTGTCTTCACGTCTTGAACGACCCTTAGGATACGATCTTGAACGCCTTTCTACCGACGGTGCTTTGCAAATGGCTGCTTCTTTTGAAGCATCTCTTTCTGGAGGTCGATGAACTGTTCGAACCTTTAGGAGCTCGAGTTAATAAAGACGCAAAGCTTCCGGATCTAGAGATCAAGATTAGCTGGAGTAACGAACTGCCGACCATAATTGCCGACCACGCGAGTCGACTATACTTTCGAGGTAGAAGGGTTTATAGTTTATTAGGCGTAGACACTAATCTTACCTTCAAAAGAAGATAGGGCATACTATTAGCTTGAGGACGGCTGATTTGCTTGCTCTGGACTCTTCTTCTCTGTAATATCTTTCTATCCTTGTCGTAATCCCAGAATTCGGAAAGGTCGTTCGTAGGACAAAGCCCTAGGCGGTCGAAAAAGGCCTTTAGGGGAAGTTGAGCAGTATAGGCAAAGCAGGGAAATCGCTCCGGACGGCTACCTCGATTACACTCCGCAATTGCCTCCTCCTCTTCCTCTCCTATCTCTGATTCGGGACTAGTCTCCGTACCTGGATAGAGAGGTAGCTGCT